GCGGCCCCGGGGCTGCCCCGTCCCCCCCCCCCGGAGCCCCCCGCCCTCACCAGGTGACCCCCATGGTCCCGGTGCCGCCGCCGGAACGGGCGGGACGAACAGGCCCCGGGAAGGGGCCACCCCGGAACGGGCGGGGCGAGCACCCACGTGCCCGTTCCCCTTCCCCGCTCCCGTTCCGGTTCTGCTTTCCCCTCCCGGACCCCCGCGATGCCCAAGGCCCGGCGGGCGCGGGGCTCCGGCCCTGCCCCGGCGCTGCCCTTGGCCGAGCAGATCCTGCAGGACGCGGCCCCGCGGGCCCGGACGCGGGGGAAGCGCGGCGGGGCCGGCCGGGAGGAGGGGGAGGATGGCGGGGACGGGTTCGTGGACGCGCGGCTGTCCCGGCGCATCCTGGAGCAGGCGCGGCGGCAGCAGGAGGAGCTGGAGGCCGAGCACGGCCCCGGGGCGCCCGCAGCCCCCCAGCAGCGCAGCGCGGCCTTGGGTGAGACCCCCGAGCCCCCCGGGACCCCCCGGCATCCCCGAGCGTGCGCGGCCCCGGCTCAGCCCCCGGCGCTCCCCGCAGGTCCCGGCTCGGACTCGGAGGACGATGAGGAATGGCCCTCGCTGGAGAAGGCGGCGGCGGCGGGACGGGGCGGGGAGTACGGCGGGGAGGTGGAGGTGGACCCCGAGGACGAGAAGGCCATCGAGATGTTCATGAACAAGAACCCGCCGCTGAGGTGAGGAACCGCCGGGGAAGGGGCTGCACCGGGGCAGGGGCTGCTTCCCTGCACGGCCCCCACCTGACTCGTGCCCCATGTCGGCCCCCGACTCACGCCCTGTCAGCCCCCAATTCACCTTGTCCCCTGTCAGCCGACCCCGGCCCCTGCTCACCCCATCCCCTGTCAGTCCCACACAGCCCCCGGCTCACCCCCTGTCCCTTGTCAGACTCCAGCTCATCCCCATCTTGTGACAGCCCCCGGCTCACCCCCTGTCCCTTGTCAGACCCCAGCTCATCCCCATCTTGTGACAGTCCCCGACTCACCCTCATCTCATGTCAGTCCCACACGACCCTCAACTCACTCCCTGCCCCCTGCCAGCCCCCGAATCACCCCATCCCCTGTCAGCCCCTCCTGGCCCCCCGCTCACCCTGTCCCGTGCCGGCCCCAGGCGCACCCTGGCTGACATCATCATGGAGAAGCTCACGGAGAAGAAGACGGAGGTGGAGACGGTGCTGTCGGAGCTCTCAGGCTGCCCCATGCCCCAGCTGGATCCCCGTGTCCTGGAGGTCTACAGAGGGGTCAGGGAGGTGAGGCCAGAGCAGCTGAACCCACAGTCACCCCCCTGAGGTGCTGAGGGAGGGGACAGCCCTGCTGGCAGTGCCCACAGCCATGGCCTGTATCTGTGTCTTTGAAGGTGCTGTCCAAATACAGGAGTGGGAAGCTCCCCAAGGCATTTAAAATCATTCCTGCCTTGTCCAACTGGGAGCAGATCCTCTACATCACCGAGCCAGAGGCGTGGACAGCTGCTGCCATGTACCAGGCCACCAGGTAAGGTCAGGTCACCCCAGGGAGCGTCTGACATGAGCCCCTGACTCATTTTGCTTTTCCTTTCCACAGTTGGAATCAGATTTGCAGAACACCATCCTTTCCCTATTTGGCCCCCTTTCCCCACCCCTCCTTCCTCCATGCTTTGGTGTTCCCAGGATATTTTCATCCAACCTGAAAGAGAGGATGGCCCAGAGGTTCTACAACCTGGTGCTGCTGCCGCGGGTCCGGGACGACATCGCCGAGTACAAGCGGCTCAACTTCCACCTGTACATGGCTCTGAAGAAGGCCCTGTTCAAACCAGCAGCCTGGTTCAAGGGTAGGGGCTCCTGCAGGGGCTGATCTGGGGCTTGTCTGGGTGCCTGGTGGGGTTTGCCTGACTCTCCCCTCCGCAGGGATCCTCCTGCCCCTGTGTGAGTCGGGCACGTGCACGCTGCGGGAGGCCGTCATCATCGGCAGCATCCTCACCAAGTGCTCCATCCCCGTCCTGCACTCCAGGTGAGGGGCTGGGGGGTGTGTGGGGCAAAGCTTCTCCTTCAGGCACCCTGGGAAGCACACCTTGGATCTACCCCTCAGCCTCTCCAGCCCCTTGGAGGTGGTGGGGGGGGTCACTCAGCTCCCTCTGGGGTTGAGAGTCAAGGCTCAGTTTTGTGTCCGGGTGCCTGGTGCCCCGTGCCTCCAGCCCAGCTCCCCAACCCTCTCCTTGGTCCCTGTGGCTCCTGCCTGGCCCCACTCCCCCCCCATGCTCCCTCCTCCATCCCCGTGGCTCCACCCCCTCTGACCCCTGTGCTCCCTCCTTGGTCCCTGTGGCTCCTGCCTGGCCTCCTCCTCTGTCCCTGTGGCTCCAGTCCCCCGTGCCCCCAGCCCTCCTGACCCCTCTCCCTGTGCCCACAGTGCTGCCATGCTCAAGCTGGCAGAGATGCAGTACAGTGGTGCCAACAGCATCTTCCTGCGCCTGCTCATCGACAAGAAGTACGCGCTGCCCTTCCGCGTGGTCGACGCCCTCGTGTTCCACTTCCTGGCCTTCCGCACGGACCAGCGGGTGCTGCCCGTGCTGTGGCACCAGAGCTTCCTGGCCTTCGCCCAGCGCTACAAGGAGGACCTGTCCTCGGAGCAGAAGGAGGCCCTGCTGGAGCTGCTCAAGTTCCACAGCCACCCGCAGATCTCGCCCGAGATCCGCAGGGAGCTCATGAACTCCAGGACGCGGGACGTGGAGGGGCAGGAGCCCGTGGCCATGGAGTGAGCAGGGCCAGGGAAAAGCTGCGGCCTCACCTGCTCCCGGGATGCTGCTGGATGCAGGAACATCCGTCCTGGATCCTCCTGCTCCGAGCGGTCATTGGGAATGGACTGTGCCCACGGGGCTGGACTGAGCTCCCTGTGCTGCTTGTCACAGGACGAGGCAGCCCCTGTCCCACCCAGGGTCCTGGTGCCACCAGCACTGAGTTTGGCTTGTTCCTGGACTGGAAAATAAAACCAGAGCCATGTTGGTCAGTCAGGGCTGGTTCTGCCCTGCAGCCACATCCCTGTGTGGTCCTGGACTGTCCCTGCCCCAGCTGACCCGTCCCCTGTCCCTGTCCCCACCAGCCTCTGGAATGCTGGCCCCCTCCCTGCCCCAGGGATTTCCCCCCCACACTCACAGGGTTTATTTACCTCCTCTTGGCAAGGCTGGTGAAACCATGGGGCCACTGTCCTCCCCTGCCCATTGAGGCCTCATGCCCAGCCTGCTCGTGGCACCTGCCCATGTGCCACCTTCGCTGGAAAACCCGGGGGGGACCTTCCCCCCATGTCCCACAAGGCTGCACTTACCTGGGAACCTCTCGGTGGGGCTGGGGGTGCCCTGCCTGCCCTCTCCCCGTTCCATCCTGGGAAACACAAGGCTGGAGCCCCCCCGAGGGATCCCCCAGGTGATGGGGGGCCCAGCCCAGCACTTTGAGGGACAGGGATCTGAGCTCTGCCCTGGGAATCACACAGGGAAACCCTCAAGCCTCTCAGTCTTCTTTAAAATACTTTATTGCAACATCACAGGGTTCTCTGGCTCTCCCAGCAGCGGAGTGAACACCAAACCAGTTTACTCTTAAATTAAAATTCATTTATATATAAAAAACATTTCCTTTTGCACAGCCAGGCTCTGTCCCAGCCCTCCTGCTGGCAGGAGGCAGCGGCTCCGGGGCCCTTCTGGACAAGGCAGGCTCGGGGAGGAGCAGCAGCCCCACCTTTTTCTGCCTGTTTTTTTGTATCTAGTGGCATCCAAAAGGGAAGATTTCTATCTCCATCTCCCACGGGAGGGCAACAGCCATGGAGCCACATGTCCAGAGGTCCCCAGGCAGCAGCGTCTGCCTCCCATCCCTGCGGAGTCTCTGGCTTCTCCTGGTTAATACAATTCCACTCTGTAATGGTTCTCTCATAGAAAAGCAGCATTATTTTTAAAAAAAAACACTTTTTATAAAAAACTAACAGGATCAACAACAACAATACAAAAAACGCAGTAATTGCTTTTCCAACTCAAGTGCGCAGCAAGTTTTCCACCCTCTCAGGGTACAGCTCGGATCCACATGGATACACATAACACAGCCCCCCCTCCTGAGTGTGATCCGAGATCCCTGCCCTGGGAAGGTGGAGATGCATCCCAGACTATAGCAGCACATTCAAAGGTATTCCTTAAATCCTAGTCTGATGCCTAAGCTACCAAAGGACCAACCAGCTTCCAAGTGAGAGTCTCCCACTGCCCAGGGAGCCAGGGAAGGGGCGAAGGGGGAAGGCACTTTTTTGGGAGGAGAGGAGAGCAGCATCCAGGCCCCACAGCAAGGAATGCCACGTCTCCTCCCTCCCTATTTCCCAGCAGTTAATAAATTAAGCAGCCTCCATGGGCCAGCGAAATCCGAGGGTACAGCGCCCAAACCTGCCCCCTCCCAAGGCCAGGACCCTCCTGCTGTCCACACAGACAGGGAGCACGTCCCCAAAAATCCCATATCCAACAGCAATAACAAACAAGCCCCACAGTTCCCCTCCAAGCAGAAGCAGCCACACAACTCCCCCCGGAGCTGCAGGAATCTGGCACGAAGCAATGGGGACAGAGGGGCCACTGAGCAGCTGCTCCCTCCTGAAGGGAACCCTGTGGGTCCGGAGCCCCCCTGCCCAGGGGGGAAACTGGGGAGTACCTCCCTGCTCCAGGACATGCAGGTCCCTCCCACGGCCCCACAGCCCCGGCTGGGGGAGGAGTTGGGGGCTGTGAGGGGTTTGGTCCCGCAGGGCAGGTCGGGGCTCGCCGTCCATGATTTGTGGCCCACGTGGGGCTGGAAGTCACCGTAAACACCCCCGAGAGCCAGGGAAACACCAACAGAGAAACAACTCCAACTTCTTCTGGGGTCCTGCTCCCCTCCCCAGCATTCTGGTGCCCTGACACCACAAAACCAGTCGCTTCACCCCAAGCCACCCGAGCGGCTCCGGGCGCGGCTCCTGCTCCCCGCGGGCGGGAGGGATCCCCGGCGGGCACGGGCTGGGCGGGTGGGATGCGGCGAGCTGGGGGTGCCCAGGGCGAGGGGCGGCTCTCGGGGCCGGGGGCTGGTCACAGGTTGACGTCGGTGACGTCCGTGGGGGTGCCCGTGGGCTGGCTGCCCCCGTACGCCGCCGCCTTGGCGCTGAACTCCTGCTGGCACTGGGACGCCTGCTTCAGGCTCTCGGCTAAGGCCGCCTCGATCTGCTCCTGGCAGGCCTTCAGGCAGTCCTGGGGAGAGGGAGAGAGAGACAAGAGGCTTCAGTTCTCTGCTCCTCGGAGGTGGGAGCCTTAGGAATCGCTCTGAGCAGCTGCTGGGCTGCATCTCCGACCCCCGGAGCATCCAAACACACAGGACAAAGGAGCTTTTCTCCACCGAGGGGAATCTCCAGCTTGTCTGTGCTTTGGGCCCCTCCCCAGGCGAAGCCCCATGCTCTGATTGTCCTCTCCCCACCTCCCTGTTTGAGCACATTCTCCAGGAAGAAACACTGTGCCCATCAGAGCTTCCCAAAGCATCCGGCCTCGTGCCTGGAAGCAGGGTGTGATTTCAGGATCATGGCAAGGGCGGAGCAGCTCTGCACAGGCCAGGATTGGCTTTTACAACCCAAACTTCCCAGATCCATGGTGGCCTGCAGCACATGGAGCCCATGGAGCCCCCCTGCCTCCCCAGGCTCTTCAGCCCAGCTTTCCCAGAGCTTGGGGTGCTCCTGCAGCAGAGCTGGGCACAGGAATCCTGCTGGATGCACTGGCTGATGGGCACTGCCTCACTCTGGGAGTCTCTGAGGCAGGGACCTCCCTGACCCAAGAACCACCCATGTGTACCCACACCCCAACACGCTGGGAGGACGATCCTGTGGCTACACAGCTTCTCACCAGGTTTCCTTCTCACCAGGTTTCCCGTGTTCCCCCCTGTGCATTCCCCAGGGACCCACCCCAGTGCTGGGGACACACCAGCCCTGCTCACAGGGAGGCTCAGGGGGCTGCAGGCAGCACCACCACTCGTCACAAATGCAAATCCCACCGTGTATTTTCCCCCCACACGAGCTGTAACCAGAGGAGGAAACTCCCACTCGGACTCCGGAGCCCCCCGGACACGTCAGCGCCGGGCACGGCCCAGCCCGGGGAGCTGGGGGGCAGCTCACACCTCGTGGACACTGTCACACCCCGAAATCTCTTACCAGGAATCCGCCGGCGGTTCTTAGAAACCGACAGAGGATGTGGCGAGCGAAAATAGCAACGCCCAACTCCCCCTGCCCGCTCCCCCGGCCCGGCTTCCCGTCAGCACAGCCTCCTCCTGCCAGCCGGGCTGGGAGCACCGGGGACAGGGCCACCAACCCTGGGCTCTGTCACCACGGCCAGTCCACCCCCAGGCTCTCCATCCCCACTGCAAACCCATCCCCGGGTTCTCCATCCCCACTGCAAACCCATCCCTGAGCTCTCCATTGGCAATTTTGGCAGATGCCAAAGCCAGCCTGGCCACGCACCACCAGACTCCTGCTGGCCACGGAGCTGGCCCAGCCCTGCACCCCCAGCACTGCCCTGCTGAGCCTTGGCAGCTGCAGGAAGGGGGTCACCCTTCCAGCTGGAGCCAGGGGGAAACTGAGTCGGAGCCCGGGGACACCACAAGGCTCAGGGAGAAGCATCTGCACCAACAGACATGGGAGGCCACGGCCAGGGGCTCCACAGGGAGCCCTGCAAGACTGTGGATACATCCCCGGATCCTCCAGGAGCTGCCATAATCCTGCCTGGGCAGGGGCTGTTTGCTGGGGGCACAGCAGATGCCCTGGGGAGGGAGGGAGGGTGGCAGGGCTGTGCCGGGCTCCATTTCGGCTCCATTTCGGTTCCCTCCCTGCTTCCCACCTGTTCCCCCCCAGCCCTGACCTGGAGCAGGTTGCAGCCCCTGCCCCGTGCCCGCAGCAGCTTGTGAGCAGGTGGCTGCACTGATTCTCCTGAAAACAAAACCATTCCATCGGCACAGGCGGCTCGGGAGCCTCCCACCCGTCCTCCTGCCCGGACAAAGGCTCGTGGAACCCCCCCAGCCCGGCCCAGCCCAGCCCAGCCCTGCCAGGGGACTGTAACCGACCCTGCAGCAGGAGGAGAGATCAAAGGGGGCCCTGGCAGAGGGAAAGCTCCCCAATGCTGCAGCAGGAGCGATCTGGGGAGCCCAACAGGATCCTCCTTCCCTTCTCCAAGGGCAGTGCAGGGGCTGGCAGATGCCCCCCTTCCCTCCCAGCCTGGGCACCTGCAACCAGACACCGCAGAGGGGAGCAGATGCTGAGCCCGGAGCCTCCCTCTGCCCCTTCCCACCCCGTCAACCCGATCCTGCCAACACCTGCCCGTGCAGGGAACAGACGCTGCCCTTTGTGTGGCATTTCAAAGGCTCCCAGCCCACCCTGCCCTGCCCTGCCCAGGCAGGAGCCACTGTGGCCACGGGGCTGCCGGAGGCGGCTCTTTTAGGGACGCTCCCTCTTCCCCTGGCTCTCCTCAGACCAGGGTCAGCACCATCATCAACAGCCCAGTTGCAAAGACTCACAGACCAGTTTGGGTTGGAAGGGTCCTCTGGAGTCCACCCAGTCCCACCCCCCTGCCAAGGCAGGGTCACCTGGAGGTGACACAGGGACGTATCCGGGTGGGTTTGGGATGTTTCCAGAGAGTGAGACCGCACACCTGCCCCGTCCCAGCGCTCTGCCACCCTCCACGGAAAAGTTCTTCCTCTCAGAAGGAGCAGCAGGAGAGGGAGGGCTCCCAGCAGCTGCAGCAGCTGTTCCTGTGCCCACTCACCACGTCGGTGCCCGTGATCCCGGCCAGCAGCTCCGTCATGGCCTCGTCGCTCACGGAGACGCTCAGCCCGTGGATCGCTGCTCCAATGCTGCCCGTGGCGATCATGGACGGGGGGTACATCACAAACGTGGAGTCTGCAGCAGCACAGGGACACGGGGCAGAGAGGGGCCCTTAGTGAGTGTGCGCGCGGCGTTTGGGATCGTGATTTCCCCGGAAAACTCGAGAGGGGCTGACAGAGGGGTCTCTGCAGCTTAGGAGGGAGAAATGGGGGTGAAGGAAAAGAAAACAGGCTGAGCAACAGCCCCACAGAGCAACAGCTCCAGAAGTGCTGAGATGAGGTGGCACTAGAGGCTGAGGGAGAGGCTGCGAAAAGCTCGGATTCAGCCCCAGACACCCTCCCACAGGCACAGCAAGGGGCTGGCACACAGCTCTGCTTTCCTGGCATCTCTCAGGCACCAAGGCCATTATCCCACCTCGAATGGCTCTGACTGGAATGCAGGCAGGCACTCAGCTCCCCAAAAGGGCAGGGGAGAGCAGCCCTGGCGAGGCAGCACCCACCTGTGGCACACAGGGCGATGAAGGTCTGGGCGTGTTTCTTCACCAGCTCCACGTTGTCCGGGGGCAGCGGGAGGCGGTGCAGGATGTGGGGCAGGAAATCGTTGGCTATCACTGACACCAGGTCCCACTTCAGCTTCTCCAGGACCAGAAGCTCCCAGTGCTGCAGAGGGAGGACAGCGTGTTAGGGAGCAGGGCGGGAGCGCTCGAGGGGGACAGCTCAGCACAACCCGAGGGACAGGGGAGGGAACAGGGACTGTCCCCACTGTCCCCAGCCTGTGGCACAATTCCAGCTGCAGAGCTGGGAGCACAGCTCAGAAGAGGAAGCAATAAATGTGGTTTCTCCTTTCCAGGGAGCAGAGGGATCAGCCACTGACACCCCTCTCTGGTCACGCTGCTGCTGCAGCCCCCGAGGGAACACCAGGGCAGGGAGCAGCAGGCACAGCATTCCCACATCCCTTCTCCACTCCCCAGAGGACAGGCTGATGTCCAGGCTCCCAGGACAGTTCAGCCCAGGGTATCCCTGTTACAGCAAAGGGAACAGAGCTCGGGGGCTGGGAATGGGGGTCAGCATTTTGGCAGAACTTCCCCTACTCATCCCACCTCCTCTCCACCAAGAGAGCCTTCAGCTGTGCTCAGCAGAGCAAGAGGCACTGAACAGCCACATCAGCTCCCACCTCTGCCACCAACATACAGCCAAGGGCTACTGATGCTTCCCAGTGACTGCCAACATCTCCATCCCAGCTGAGGTGCCCCCTCCAGGCACCCAACAGGGACTTCTGTGGCATCTCCACGGGCCAGTCAGTGCTGGCTGTGAGCTGGGGAGCAGATGGTGGCAAGGCTGGGTGCCCTGCATGGGTTTGAGCTGGAGCTCTGGCTGCTCCAGGCACCTGCTGAGCCTCTCCCGGCTCTGCCAGCCCTGGCATCAGCCCTGGCATGGACACACAGTGCAGGGCAGCCCTGGAGCAGCCCTTGGCAGAGCCAGCACCCAGCAGGTCCCAGGGCCAGCACCCAGCCAGGGTGTACACAAGGAACCTCGGCACAGAATTTGGGACCCCTGCCCTCAGTTCCCTGCCCTGCCCTCAGTGCCAAGGTCCCCTGGTGTGACTGGAGCAGCAGCTGAATCCAGCTCGGAGGCCACACACGTTCTGTCCTCCTGGGCTGGGCAGCTTTGCTGTCACCTCTGGGTGTGACTGTGCCACTGACTCTCAGCAGAAGGGAACTGTGTCTTCCCAGGATCATTTTTCCCTTTCCATCCCAGCAGCAGTGCCACAGGCAGCCCACACCCTCTCTGCTGGTCCCAATTCCCCCACATCCCAAGACACAATGACCATCTCCAGCCCCACTTTCTCTCATCCTCTGGATCAGCACTGAGATCCAGGTATGCCAGAAAGGCCAGAGCTGAACTGGGATTTGTCTCAGGTGCCTCCATTCCAGGATCTCATCCTGCCCAGCAGTTCAGGGTTCCACAGCCAGTGCTGCCCAGAGGTGCCACAGGGCTCCAGAACAGATGGATTTGAAGAAGTGAGATTTTTTTTTTCCTAAGGTCAGACCTTCATTTTCTCCTTTCTTTGCAAACCCCCCCTTTCTCCTTACACAGCAAACCAGCTTTGAGTTGCCTAAATGAGCAGCATTGCTCAACCTGCTCCAAACCCCCTCCCCGAGGCCCTGTGTGCTGGTTGCCACTTCGCAGCCTGCACTTTTCCACCCAGGAAGCCATTCCTCGCCTCCACAGGCTCCCACCTCCCATATGGATGGCCAGCCTGCCAGGCCTGCTGGAGTTTTCAGCCAAATCCAAAGGATAAAAGCAAGAAGAAACCTTGCAAAGAGCTCCAGAGCCTGAGGATCCCAGCACAGGTCACGGAGTGCCTGGTCCGAGGTGGGATTGGAGCAAAGGGGAGAGATCAGGCTTGGGAAAAGAAGGAAACAGAGGTTTAGAATATCCTGAGTGGGAAGGGACCCACAGGGATCAAAGTGGGTGCTGGACACTGGTTAAATTGCAGCCACACAGGAAAGAGCCACTGGGAATGGAGAGCTCTGTGCCTGTCGCTCACCTGGAGCCTCCAAGGGCTCCAGAGGGTTGGGAGAGCTGGATGCCTCCTCCTGCATCAGCCCAGTTCCCTGGGAAGGGACACAGGACACAGCTGACACCTTTGGCAGTCACTGCCCTGAGCTGGGAGCACAGCCCAGGCCCAGGGAGGTCAGGAGGACCTGGAAATCCCTCCTCACAACCAGCAAATCCCAAAGGGATCTCGGAGTCTGAGAGGGGAGCTCAGAGCAGAAGGGACACAGCCCAGCATCACTCCTGCCTGTCCTCCCAGAGCTGCAACCCAACATGTCACTGTGTGTCCCCGACACACAACACCCTCTCTGGAGAGGCAGAGCCTGTTCCTGTTGGGATATTGTCCCAAGGATCCAGACCCAGGTGCAGCTCAGGCACGAGACCTCACCTGGGACACGGACTGATCCGGGACAGCCTGTCCCTCTGCAAGGCACCACAGCAGCTCTTTTCCAGACACAGGTTCCTCACCATCACCCCCAAGCCCTGGCTGTTCCAAGAGGCTGATCCCAGGGCCCCGCCGGCTCCAGGGACGGCAGCTGAAGGCGCCCGGCGCCAAGGACTGTCACCAGCTCACAGGATTTAGCTCAGGGAAGCCTCTCTCCTGCCAAACCACCCTGCTCCTCGCTTCTCTCCTGCTAACCCTGGGGACTGCCCGCCCTCAGATCCGTGTCAGAACCTCTGAATCACTTTATCTGTGGAAGGAGCAGAACAAAAGCAGCGAGGGACAGGACAGGCAGGTTTGCTGATGGAACAAACATCCTCTTCCTGGCATTTTGTTTTGCACCTCGTTCAATCAGTCCCTGCCCGGGTAATGAAAGAGAGGAAGAAAAGTGGAAAATGTCCCTTTGTTTCTCCAGCCTGCAGAGTTCACCCTCCTCGTGGAAGGGCTGAAAGCTGCCAGTACTGCTCGTGGAGCATTCCAGCACTGCTCGTGGAGCATCCCAGCACTGGGAATGCATCAGATCCCCCTCTGCAAGACCACCCCCCAGGGCAGGGCTCTCCGGGTCTGACCAGCATCTCAGGGGATGGAAACCACAGAGCAGAGCTTCCCCTCTGCAAGTCTGATCCCTCCTGGCTGCATCCCAAAGCAGAGAGACAGGAGAGAAGGCAGGACAGCAGAATTCCCGCTGCCTCCCCTGCTCGGAGCAGGTGAGCAAAGTCCTGCAGCCAAACTGCCCCCTCAGACAGACCCGAGCCACAGGCAGGGACTGCCTGACTCCATTCCCAGCTCTGCAAACCCCGTCTGGGATGTGCCAGTCCCGGCAGCTCCCCCTGCCATGCAGTGACAGCCACATCAAGCTCTGCCCTCCCAACACCCACACACCCACTGTGCCTGCAGGAGCCTGGAAATCCATCTGGGAGCAGAGCCCACCCCCCCGAGCAGCAGGAGGGAAGGGAGCTGTGCTGGATTGTCCCTGCAGCTGGGAAGGGACCATGGGACACTGTCACAGCCCCGGTGACACACTTGGTGCTCCCGAGGTGACTCACAGAGAGGGTGGAGAGAGCCTGGCACCCACCCCCCAGAGCAGCTACAGAAATGAGCAGCCTCCAAAGTCCATTTGCAAATGGGAAACAGGGTCTGCTTCCATCTCCTGGGCACGTTCCAGACTGGATGTCAAGGCAAAGGGACCAACTCCAGAGGGAGAAACGGCCCCGTCTGTCCCACCTGTGCCACAAGCAGAAGGGAAAGCAGGGAAACACCAGAGTGTCTTCTGGAAAACCACAAGTGAACATCCTTCTCTACCCAGCTCTTATTTCTCTTATTTTCACTCTTCGTGGCCCTCGGGGCCACTGCTGCTCCCCTCATCATCTGCCTGGAGGCTCCATCCTCCTCAGGCTTTGCCAGGAAATTCCTGGCTGTTGGCAAAACTGACCTTTAGGTTGAAGATTTCCAAGACAAGCCAAGGTATTAGGAGCAAAGCAGGCAGATGGAGGTGACTTACAACTGCTCTCCCCAAGCAGCTGAACACCCTCTTGCACAAGCCAGAAAAGCCTTCATTAAAAGATAAAAAAAAGGGAAAAAAAGAAAAAAAGGAAAGGTAGGTCAGATAACGCCCCTGACGGAAATCCAACTTCCTCCAAATGGACAAGTCCCTCCTTGCATCATTTCCTTCTCCCTAGAATAACCTCCTCAAGAGTTTGTTTCAAGTGTGTCCCTTCTCAGCTGCTGAGCTGGTGCCAAGCATCCCAGCAGGAGAAGGAAGCAAACCTGCTGGGAATGTGAGCCAGCACCCCTGGAGTCCAGGATGGCAGCGATCCACGGGAAGAGGCCAGGATGAACCATTGTCCAAACCTTGATGAAGAAGCTCCCCTTCCCCTCCCCACCCTGGGAGGTTGTGAAAGAGCAGCAACATCCCCTGATTAGCACAGAGGGGGAAGAGCAGCCCCTGGGTGTTGTAATCCAGCACTAACTCCAGCAGGTCCCAAAGCCCAAATCCTTCACAGGTCCTCAGATGTTCCCTCCCCTCCCTCTCTGCAGTGGGGACAATGGGAGACTGGAGCGGGATGTGCTCCAAACAGGGTTAAAATCCATGGAAATCGTGGTGGGCAGGGAAAGCTGACCACCAGGTGATGGACTGTGGAGCAGCTCCTGCCCAGAGATGTGCCACTGCCTCAGGTCCCCTCTGGAAGGGCCAGGCTGGCTCCTGATGCCTCTGCTCAGCCCTTGGATGACCAGGAATGAACCCCTGCACTGCTGAGTGGGAAAGGGATTCTATTTGCCTGGAAAAGCTACCTTTGGCTAGCCCAAAAAAGGACTTCTGACCCTCAAAATGAAGCCATTTTCATCCACCTCAACTCCAAATTGATTCTGGAGCAGAGAGATCCAAGAGATCTGTGCCAGCCAGCCATCTGTGCCTCCTGAGAGCAACAGGATCCAGGGAGGGAGAACCCCAGGACTGAGACCTGAAGGATCAGCAGTGAAGAACAGGCATCAGACAGTGCTTTCCTCCTCCAGCTCCACCCCAGGAGGAGGGAGAAGGGAAGATGAACATTGTGGTGCTGCCTGGCCACAGCTTCCTGCTGACAAACCTCGGGGGAAGAAATAAGAAAGACTCTGAGCAAGGAGGAATTAACACTGGAGTCTGAGGGGGAAGGAGAGTCTCCAGGGATGCTGCACATGCTCTGCCCACTCCCCACCTGCACCTCTCCACCCTCCTTTGGGAGGAGCCTGCTGCAAACAGGTCCCAAATTCAACTGGGAACAGCAAATCCTGCCCAAGAATTCACCAAACAAATTAGAATGAAATAGGACTCGGACCCACAGGATGCAGGCACCAGGTGTCCACCCGAGGTCTGGGCTGCAGGAGCCACCAGAACTGGCTGTGACTCCCTCCTGTCTCAGGGATGTTGACAGGATTCAGCATCCAGGGAAGAAACAACTGCTACTGTTTCCTCTGTGCATTCCCACCCCTCCCCATGATTAATCACCCACCCCTGAGTGCTAATTGAGACAATCACCACCCACAAATGACTACAGGGTCATGGAGGTGAGGGGATTTTCCCCAGCCTTTCACTGGCACTTGGAAAAACCATGTTCATACCAGAGCTCCCCAGTTACCAGAACTGCCCTCGGTTCACACCTGAAAGTTTTGTGGGTTCACTCCCCACCCCGGGGACAAATCACACTCAGATCACCCCAGCCCAGCCCCAAAAAAACACAGACACTTAACAAGGTGATGAGTAACCCTGAGAAATTCTCGGGGGCAAACGGTCCCCAGGGATGGTTCTCAGCCCAGGTGACCGTTTCCTCCCCGGGGCCCTGAGCCACCAGCATGGAAGGCCCCAAGAAAAGGGGCTCTCCAGTTTCCTCCTGCACTGGGGGAGTGGAAATCAAAGGGTTTGGATCTCTGAACTTTTATCAGACACGAAAACACTTTGCCTTTCGAAGCCTCAGAACTGAACTTCTGCCTGAGCGTGCAGGGTGACAGCCCAGGGTGACAGCCCAGGGCTGGGAACGAGCACTGCAGGCACAAGGAACTTCCCCTACGACCTGGAGGGGACAATTCTGCTCCCCACAACAGGGAAGGTGGAAAGGTCTCCACCAACAGGCACCACACCCTGCAGGACAAGGAGGAGAGAAGGCTGGAATGCAGGGGGAGGTGAGGGAATGGGAGGAAGAGCAGGGACAGGGAGGCAGGTGGGATGGCAGGCAGCAGGATGCAGAAGAGCTGGGGAGGAGGTAGAGGGTGGTTACCAGGAGCTGCTGAGGTGTGATGGAGTTGTCTGTGTAAATGCAGAGCTTCTCCACGGTCAGGGGCATGGTTTCTCTCAGTTTGGAGGCCAGCAGCATGCACACAGCCCCCAGAAGCTGCAGGCGATTCTTCTGCACGGGCACCGACGACAGGAACCGATCCACGTAATTCATGGCCAGGGGGAAAACCTCTTCCTCACACTTCTGCTCCTCACACACCTGGCAAAACCCAGTGGCAGAGATACAAAGTAAAGGCAGGGCTCCCCAGCCCCTGCCTGCACCGCAGCTCCAAAGCCTCTGGTGTTTCACACTTGCCAGGGCTCTGGAGGCCTGGGGTGAATGAGCTCCAGGTGTTAACTCTGGTGACATCCCTGGGGTTACACCACAAAGGAGCTTCCCCAAGGCCTCAAGACTTCAGCTTCCTGGGGAAAGCAGCAGAACTCAGGTGCAGTTAGAAAGAGCGCACAAATGAGACCAAACCGGCCTGATTTGGCCCCGTTTCTGATCCCCCCTGCTGGAGATGTCTCCAGCCAGCTGGACAGCAAAGCTGCCACCTCCTGCCCTGTGGGGACTGGGGATCTCTGGAGAAAGTGAGCAGTTCCAGCATATCCCCAGCTGGAGACTTAACAGAGCAGGATCCACTGCTGGCAACTCCACCTCGAGTGCTCCAGAGACACAAGAAGAGTCAGTGGCAGCACCCAAATCAATGCTGGGTCCAAAAGTCCTCCTCCCTCAGCCACAGAATCCAGCAGCTCCAAATTTCAGCCCTCTGCCCTTATCTCCCAACAGTATCAAAACACTTGTCATATTTAACTTCCTTCTTTCAACACGACCATAAAAACATTGCGGTTTCTCCCCATTCTGCAGCAAACACCATCCTCCTCCCAGCCCCGGCTGCCCCAGCGCCGGCGACACCGACACGGGTGTGACAACTGCCACTTGTCACCCGCTTGTCACCCCTTCAGGGCTTCACAGGGACAGGTCCCAAAGCAGCATTTGTTTAACACCCTTCTCGGAAAGGGAACGGCAGAAACAAAATAACAGGAGAGGGGGGGAAAAAAGCCCCTTTAAAAAGCAAATGTTCGCTATTTCTTTCGACGGAGCTTCCCTGCAGCAGCCGCCGGGCTGGGGGACGGGGAAGCTCCATCCCGACCTCACCGGTCCTCTGCAAATCGTTCTTTATCGAGACTCTTCACTGCGACCACCTCATGCAGAGCCCCCTGAGATTCTTCCCCCCCCCGCCCCGAACTCCATCCTGCAGGGAGCCACACTCATTTTTAATTTGGGGAAGTAAATAGTAACGTTATTATTTCCCCCTCTAACCAGGCACTTGCAGCCCCGAGCCCGAGGCTCTGACAGCCCAGCTCTGCCCGGAGCTTTTGGGGGTCTCTCACCAAGGGGTGGGGTGAGCTGTGGGTTCAGGGGAGGGGGGGTCCTGCTCCTCCTGCACGGGGCGAACACATGTTTTAGCCTTTTAGCCCAGCCGGCGCTCACGGAGCAAAGCGCCTGCAAAGGAGCAAAGCGCGCAGCCCCCGCGCTGCCCACCGGCATCGCCCCTGCCCTGAGCACAGACCTCCGGGCTGGCGTGTCCCCTGCCTTGTCTCCTGCACCCCTGACCCCCCCAGCACACGCGGGCCGGGGGTCCTGCCCTGCGCTCCCCACGCCGGGGCAGGAGCAGCGCCGGCGTCCGCGCAGGGGGAGCGGGGCGGCGGCGCGTCCCGTACCTCCAGCATCCAGACGGCCAACATCCTCCGCATGTAGGGCTGGATGTCCCGCTGCACGCACTGGAAGTAGGACACGCGGGGGCTGTACCGCTCCTCCAGGCTCAGCAGGTTCTGCAGCACCCGCCGGTCCTCCAGGAGCTGCGGGTCGCGCCCCGCGCGGGGCACGCGGGACACGGACTCCACGCACAGCAGCTCCATGGGCGGCGGGGAGGCCGGGACGGAGGCGGCAGGGGCGGACGGACACGGGGACGGAGGGGCAGGAAGAAGGACAGACGAGGGGCAGGCGGGGGGAAGGAAGGACAGACGGACGGACGGACGGACGG